TACAAAGATCATGACATTTAAATATTTTTTAGTAATTTACTGTGACAACTTTTGTCATTAAGAAACAAACCAGTTTCATTTTTTTAAAATATAAACCAATGTACCAAAGATTTTAAATGCGCAGAAAAATGAGGTAGCCAACCCGGTACGGTACCAGTACTAATCATTATCATCATCCAGTGTCAGATCTGCGACCGACATCGGCGATCATGGTTCTCCATTCATTCCTTTGCCCAGATGCTCTAAAAAAAAAAAGCTACGTTTCCCTGATCGTTCCATGTTACCCATTTGTTTAGGTTCCCCAAGTAGATCGTTCTGGGCCTACCCCAACCTTGTTTACCTTCAATTTTGCCAGTGAGAGCTAGATGTTCAAGACCCTTATGTCTATTCAGGTGTCCCCAAAACTGCATTTGTCGTTTCCGGATTGTTTTTAACATTGAACGTCCCACGTGGGCTTCATCAAGCACTACCTCATTCGATTTCTTTTCCTTCCACGATACTCTTAGCGGTCCTATGGTCCTATGGGCTTATTCGATACATTAGAGCACTAACCTCTGAAAACACCCAAGCAAAGAAAATGGTGGCAGTATAAGCTTACATAAACTGAAGTCAGCCTTAATTCAAATGACAACCCAGCTTTTTCGGTAAGTGTGTTTGTGTGTGTGTGTGTGTGTTTGTGATTGTGTATGTGTCTGTGCGTTTGTGTGTGTATGTGTGTGTGTGTGTGTGTGTGTGTGTGTGTGTGTTCGTGTGTGTGTGTTCTTTTGAGCTGGTTCATTTGTGCGGGCTCATGTTTGAATTTTTCTTCTTACGTGGGGATTTAAAAATGTTTATAATGTTGGTTTCAGGTACATTATGTTCAGAAGTCTAACGAAGACAAATCAGACTGTAGCTGGTATTTATTTTCGGTCGCAAGAAACACTGCTCATTAGCTGTTTTAATAATTAAAATCTACTGAGGCAGAACAACAACATGCTGCATTATGCATTAAGCTCCCAATGTTAATGACCTTAACATGAACAGATCGTATTCTTTGTTTAGGAGAGTGGCCCCGCGCTTGTGATACAATGGGTACATTTTAGTTGGAGAAACACACCTTTCAGTGAATGAAGGTCTGTCTATGTACCCTTCCGTCAAAATCCAACCACGCTTGCATATTTTAGCACATAGAACAGTATATGCATATTGTGAAGAGGATAAAGAATAAGGGGCGGGGTGGGGTGGGGACGAGAAGGTGTGAGCTTCGATGGGCGGGGTGAGGGTGGAGGTACACTGTTAAACTTTTAAAGACCTTCTTCTGTTTCAATATTTGAATAAAGCATACCCCTAAACCTGATTCGCCGGAGGCCACGGCAGTTAAAGGAAAAGAAAAAACTAATCAATAGACAAACTGTCAATACCCCTGCATTTTGGAAAGGTTGAACAATTCCAGCTACGTGGTTGCACATCTCCCCTGTCTGCCAGTACAACGTCACCAAACGTCGGACACCTCGTGCCACACAACAAAGGCTGTTGTTGTTCCAGGGGACGTTGCCGGAAATCTCCCCCATACAAAAGTAAACACAAATCTACAAGTCAAATCTGGAGAGGGGCTCACATAAACACACAATCGCTGCCTTCTAAACCAACACGGTGCAAGATCACAATCGTGGAATGTTCTCTCTGAGCTGCGAACCCCGGCGTTATTGGCAGATCTATACTTCTATTTATCTAGATATCACAGGTTCTGTCCACACGCGAAATCTAAGCTCAGATGATCCTGCCTTGAGTAAACAAGGGGTAGCAGGGTCTCCTATCGCGATTGTATATAATATTAACCCCTTACAAACAAGACGATCCATTGCGAGTTCAAAAGTTTAGACTAATGCCTCGCTGATAAAGCCTCAGCGGGACTCCTTGGACTGCTATCACTGTGGGCGTATTTATTGTCGCTGTGTGGGTTACAGCTGACTTACAAAGACACACTTCATCAGTTTTGACTGAGTCTAAGCACGCAAGCTGATTCACTTGAGTTGTTTTCTTTAAAGAATATTGCCCTAGGATCTCAACGTTTCTTACCAGCTTTTTTATTTCATAATGCTATTATCATTGTGTCATACTGTCCTCTTCTGGCAATTATTTCACCGAAAACATGAAGTGTTTAATCACCAATATTGTCTTAACCGCTCGTCATTTAGCCTCTCTTTTATGCACAAAAACTATCTTTCATCTTTATAAAGTTTTGTAAGTTCCATGGGTAAAATTATTGTTCAATAAAGAACGTTTCTTAAAATATTCTTCCTTAAGCCTTCCAAAAATGGTTACACAAAATAAATAATTTTTAAAAAAATTACAAATAGCCTACAAACAAGAGCAAGGAACAATATTTAAAAAAACACATGTCCGTGACGCCGCACGCGGTACTGATCATGACGGTCTCTGGCTGACATCGATACCGTTTCGCTGCCAATATAATAATATTGTCTTTTGGAAGAGGAAGTCGCGTATTTTCCCGTTGGTG